GAAACGTGCCGAGCAACATATGGCGGCAAACTGACGGCAAAAGCCGAGCAAGTCGTGCCAAATCTCATGCAACATATGAGGGCCGTACGAAACACGTTTGTTAGTAAAGTTAAAGTGGAGTAACATATAGGACGACAGATTTGAAGAACCAAAGATCTCGAGTTCAAATCCAATGTGAGCAAGGAATTTTTCCAAGACAATATACACTGAGATACTTACGTTCTACATGATTAGAAAGTGTTCAATAATAAAAGCCACTGGTGTCATCTCTAAAAGACACAAATAGCATTTCATAGAACTAAAAATTTTAACTAGGACAGTCTATCTACTGATGATATATGCCTAATGCAGAAAATAAACTACATCACTAGTTATATTTTTTTTATCTAACTATTAGGTAACTTATGTTATATCCTCATTAGGAAAAGTGATATTGCCTAGCAACTAGTTTAGTTTTTTACCATAATTATGTTGTTTCTTTTATCTTATTATTAGTTAATATATTGTATATATTCGCAAAAACGTTACATTATTAGTTCATCACTGTCTAGTTACACTAACTAATAACTATGTGTATGTGTCTATTGGATACAACTTTATTATGTAATGACTAGATTCTCATAAGGTGCAAATTCTACTCGGGTAGTTTTGGCCTGTTCATAGCCGGCACATTTTGCTCGATTTTTGCCGTAAATTTGTCATCACGCCTTGCTCGGCACGTCTTGCTCGCTGTTTGCTGCAAATTTGTCGTCACACGTTGCTCGACACGTCTTGTTCGGTTTTTGCAGCACTCTGCCCTCAAGTAATTTTGGCATGCTTTGCCGACATAATGCCAGCATAATGGTAGTATACATGCTGCAAATGTGCTGCAATCCTATGATTGATTTTGCCAGCAATTTGTCGGCATATTGCTGACATTTTGCTATCAGGGATTACTGTCACAAATAGAAAAAAATAACGATCGTTATTGAAAAAAGTAACGGTAACGGCATTACAAGTAACTCGTTACTTCCTAATTTTAGTGAAATTACGTACAAAAATGTGAGTAATAATGTTCAAATGCGATACATATCTCATATATTATTAATGTTAAATATTTCACATACATCTCTGAGATGTCTGGATATCTGTGGGATATTTTATGATATTAATATATAATCAATTTTTCTGTAGATATTTATATTAATTATTTTATTTTAATTGTGTGCTATTATTTTATTTGCACATTTTTGTACGCGCGTATATTTCGTATGCATTTTGAAGCATATTAAAATTTATAAAAAATGAGCATCGCTTGCTTCGATGTGTCATTGCTATGAATCGTCCCAAATCACGAAAATTTCGAGTCGAAATGTTTTTTTGTTCGGATAAGGGTGGTTTTATTAGACGATCACGTCACCGTGAGCATTATTCTTTCTTCTTTACGTTAAGGGAGCGCATTATCAACGTTAATCATTTTATCTTTATCTTTTTTTAGATACATAACAAGAATGAGGCGTTAACTAACATTAATAACGCTGATAGTGTGTTCCCCTAAAGCCCCCTGATAGCCAAACATGCCAAAAAGCAAATTCGGCAAAGCGTGCTGCACGTTTTGCCGACAGAATAGCGACAAAATTGCAGCATGACCTTAGCAAGCGTGATAGCAAACTGCTGGCAAAAACCGGATAAGCTATCATTAGTAGTATGACGGCATATTGACAGCAGAAACTGAGCAAATCGTGCCGAGCAATGTGTGATGGCAAATTTGCAGCAAACAGCGAGCAAGATGTGCCGAGCAACGCAAATTTACGGCAAATTGACAGCAAATTTACGGCAAAAAGTGAGCAAGACGTGCTGAGCAACGTGTGACGGCAAATTTGCCGCAAAAATCGAGCAAAACGTGCCGAACAACATATGACGGCAAACTGACGGCCAAAGCCGAGCAAGTCGTGCCAAATCTCATGCAACATATGAGGGCCATACGAAACGCCTTTGTTAGTAAAGTTGAAGTGGAGTAACATATAGAACAACAGACTTGAAGAACCAAAGATCTCGAGTTCAAATACAATGTGGGCAAGGGATTTTTCCAAGACAATATACACTAAGATACTTACGTTCTACATGATTAGGAAGAGTTCCAACAATAAAAACTACTAGTGTAATCTCTAAAAGACACAAATAGCATTTTATAGAACTAAAAACTTTAACTAGGACAGTCTATCTACTGCTGATGAAGTATGCCTAATGCAGAAAATAAACTACATCACTAGTTATATTTTTTTTGTTTAACTACTAAGATAATTTATGTTATATCCTCATTAGAAAAAATGATACTGCCTAGCAACTAGTTTTGATTTTTTACTTCATAATTATGTAGTTTCTTTTATCTCATTATTAGTTAATATATTGCATATAGCTATTCGCAAAAGCGTTACATTACTGGTTCATCATTGTCTAGTTACACTAGCTAATAACGATGTGTATGTGTGTTAGATACAACTTTATTATATAATGACTAGATTCTCATAAGGTGCAAATTCTACTTGGGTAGTTTTAGCCTACTCATATCCGG